ATATTTCGTGTGTGTGTGTTCGTTCATCTGTCCGTGGACACTTAGGTTGTTCCCATGTCTTGGCTACTGTAAATAAAACTATGAACAATGGGGTACATATACCTTTTTGAAATTAGTGTTTTTGTTTCCTTTGGATATATTCCCAGAAGTGGAATTGCTAGATCATATGGTAGTCCTAATTTTAATTTTTTGAGCTAATACTTTTCATGTGAATGTGGGCTTTTTGTGTATCTTTTTTGGAAGATGTCTCTTCAGGTCTTTTGACCATTTTTTAATTGGATTACTTGTTTTTTTGCTATTGAATAGTACAATTTTTATATATATTTTATTAAGGATATTAAGGATATTAACCTAATAAGATATTCCCATTTTGTAGGTTGTCTTTTCACTTTGTTGTCTTTTGCTATGCAGAAGCTTTATAGTTTAATGTAGTCCCACTTGTTTATTTTTACTTTGTTGTCATATCCAAAGAATCATTGCTAAGACTCATGTGAAGGATTCTTTTCCTGTTTTCACATCAGTGTTATACTGTTTTGATTACTGTAGCTTTATAGTAAAGCTTAAAATCAGGAAGTGTGATGCCTCTTGCTTTGTTCCTTTTTCTCAGGATTGCTTTGGCTATTCTGAGTCTTTTGTGGATCCATATAAATTTTAGATTTCAACTTCTGTAAAAAAAAACAAAAACAATGCCATTGGGATCTTGATAGGTATTGCATTGAATCTATAGATGTCTTTTGGTAGTATTGATATTTTAACACTATTATTTATTCCATTAACACAAGGTACCTTTCCATTTATTTATGTCTTCCTTAATTTGTTTCATCAATGTATTAGTTTTCAGAGTAGAGATCTTTTGTGTCCTTGGTTGAGTTCATTTCTGTGTATTTATTTTGATGCAGTTGTAAATGGGATCGTTTTTATTTCTTTTTTAGATAATTCATTGTTACTGTATAGCAATGCTACTGATATTTGTATGTTACATTTTGTATCCTACATCTTTACAATTTTTTTTACTTTAAAATTTTTTTTAGTTCTAACAGTTTTTGGTTCAGTCTTCCGGGTTTTCTATATATAAAATCATGTCATCTGCAAATAGACACAATCTTACTTCTTCCTTTCCAATTCTGATGCCTTCTATTATTTTTTTTACCTGCCTGAATGATCTGTGAAGAATTCCAGTACTAAATTGAATAGGAGTGGTGAGGATGGACACCCTTGTTTTGTTTCTGATCGTAGAGGAAAAGCTTTCTCCCTTTCATCATTGGGTATATTAGCTGTGGGCTTATCATATGTGGCCTTTATTATGTTGATGTATTACCCTCTATACCTAATTTGTATGAGTTTTTATCATGAATGGATGTTGAATTTTTTCAAATGCTTTTTCTGCATCTTTGAGAAGATTTTTTTTTCATTCTATTAATGTATCACATTAATTGATTTGTATACATTGAACCATCCTTGCATCCCAGGTATAAATCCCACTTGATCATGGTGAGTGATATATATATATATATATATATATATATATATATATATATATATATATATATATATATAT